TTCGGTGAGTGTACATGGCAGAGGCCTGACTTATTTTCTAGGGGAAAATAATGGGATAATTGGGGATTGAGACAGGTGTTGAAGAAAAGGCTCTTTGGGGGTTGCTCTTTTTCAGGTGTGTTTGGGGGCTTTTCTGGGGTTGGCTGATAACCCCACTTCACCCCTTCCCTGCATGCTGAGTTTTAGGTGGTTGGGGTGTTTTCCACCCTTCTGGGTTTCAGGCAATGAGGGGTTTTTCCACCCTCCAGGCTTGCAGCATCCTTGTCCTCACCCAGCTGTGGGCTCTGAAACGCCTCCCAGTTAACAACCCCATTCATTTCTCCCCACTGCATTGTTTCTAATGCCCGTTCCCACCTTGGAGGGAACTTTTCCAAAAGCCCACCTGGACTTTTCAAGGATCCTGCATTGAGGCAGCTGCCAGTTTTGCATCATGGGATTGAATCATCTCCCTTTCTGCAGGAGACAGTGCTGGCTGGGCTGGCCGGTGTGCCTCTAGCAAGCCTATCTAGACACAGCAGAGATGTTTTCTTGGCAGTAGCCCAAACCCCTCCTGGCCTATTCCCGCTCACTGTTGCCTTTCCCACACACCTTCCCATCCATGCTCTGTGCTGTTTTCTTCTTTTTCCAATGCTCTTTGCATGGGTGATCTTTGGGGCATCCAACACCCCCAGACCCTGCTGTCTGTAGCATTGGGAGCATCTGCACCATGCTCAGACCCATATGCTTTCCCGTTTGATCAGGGCTTTTCCAGAATAACCAGTAAGCTGGCACTGAGCCAGCACAGATGGGGCATCTAACACATCCCTGGGCTTCTTGGGGATTCCTCTGGTGCGATCCCACCCAGCACTGGGACTGGCAGACACTGCAGCTTTCTTCTATTTATATCCCGTTGTTGGTGTTTTCCTACCACAAAGCGTATTTATGCCCCAGTTTTGGTCAGATTTGGGCTGGTGGGGAGCACAGGGATACGGTGAAGAGCATGGCTTCCATCACAGCACCCAGCACTCATGTGGGCTGGTGATGCCATGGGAAAGCAGCCTTGGGCTGTGGTGAAAGGGCCCAAGGAAAAGGGGAGAATGGCTTCAGCTGCTCTTTCCATCATAAATCCCCGTGTCCCCAGCATAGGGCTGATATGGGTTCATCCATAAATGGATGTGAACAAGCCAGCCACAACCTGATGAGGCCCTGAAATTCTGGTTAATGGCAGGTTTCCTGGGTCACACCACTCTGTGACAAGGGATGGTCCCCAGGATGTGGGGTGGCAGTGGGAGATGTAAGCAACATCAGGGCATAGCTTTTTATTCAACCAAGATATTTGAAGGAAGAAAAAAATCATAGTAACTTTCAAGCTTCATAGCCTTCAAACCCTTCCTCAGGGCTGGATTAGAAGCATCTATGGCTTAAGAATATAAATGTCAGATACAAAGCTTGTCATCCCCGAGGAAAGGGGACCAGGGTGGGTGCTGTGCTAGACTGGCACAGCTGTGCTGTGTGAGCCCATGTCCACTGATGTCCTGACTGGGGCGGGGTTTCACCTCAAAAAAGGCTTCTGCGTCCCAAATCCTGGCTGTTCCCTCCAGTTACAGCCATGAGCCAGCACACCCTTGTGTGCTGGATAAGTCAAACCTGCCCAGACCTGCCGGTGCCAGGGGAGCTGCCGGGCATGGCACTCCTGGAGGAATTGCCCCATGGGGCCACCCGAGTTGGTGGCACCAAACCTGCTGAGCCAGCCTCGGCTGTGCTCCGCTCCAGCCCAGTGGCTTTCCCTGTTGCCCAAGGCTGGGGTGACTGGGAGTCCTGCAGGTGTGAGGAGCGTCAGGTGTCATCTCCCGCACTCAACCTGTTATCCTTGGCATCACACCCCAGCTTGGAAAAAATGAGTCAGGAGGTTGAGGCAGTGGCCTGATGCAGACACAGCATTGCATGCAAAGCTCAGCTCAGCAAGTTGGACAGGCATGGCTCCCAATCCCACCACTTTGTGCCACCGGCAAGGAGTTGCAGGGTGCTGGGACAGCAGGAGCTGGCTGGTTTTCATGTCCAAAAATACTTATTTACTCCCAAGGAAGGGGACAGTGGACCAAATGTATCTGTCAGACTTCAATATCCCTTCTGGAGACCCTCGGGTCTGGAGCACAAGTGTGATGAGGAGCATCTGAGGGAACTGGAGGGGCTCAGCCTGGAGCAAATGGGGCTCAAGGGGGGACCTTCTGACTCTCTGCAACTCCCTGAAAGGAGGTTGTAGCCAAGTGGGGGTCGGGCTCTGCTTCCAAGGAACAAGAGACAGGACAGGAGGAAGTGACTTCAAGTTGCACCAGGGGAGGTTTTAGGATATTAGGAAATATTTCTTTATGGTAAGAGTGGTCAAGCCCTGGCACAGGTTGCCCAGGGAAGTGGTGGAGTCATCAAGCCTGGAGGTATTTAAAAGACATGTGAATGTGGCCCTTGGGCTTGGCGGTGCTGGGCTAACAGTTGGACTTAGATATCTTTTCCAACCTACATGATTCCGTGATTCTAAACAATTCTATGATTCTAGGATCCTCAAACCCCATAAAAGCTGGTTATTTCTGTACCAACCTGTGCTGTGGGTGAACATGCCCTTCAAGCTTTGCTTCTGCGGGGGGACAGAAGAGGCCAAGCTGACACAAAGGCAATGGATGCAGGAAGGAGGTGATGAGCCCCATCTCCATCCTGTCTCCTGCAGCAAATCCTGCCAGATATCTCTCCTGTGAGCTTTCTCCCTGGCATTGCTCATGGTTCTCCAATAGATGCATGTAAAAAGGAGAGTTCTCTGTTTGAATCAGAAGTGCTCCGATCTGAAACCTCTGAGCATTTTATATTATTTTTAGCCTTTAAACCAGGCTTGATGAGGGTGTGCAGGTGAGCCAGGGAGAAATCCTGTGCTGCTGGGCCCCAGCAGAGCCTCAGCAAAGGCAGCACCACCATCTGCTGGCACGTTCCAATTTCATCATTTTAGAGCTGTCGAGTGCAAAATCAATTCTGCTTCTTGTATTCCTCTGTGGTCTCTACTGTGGTCTGAAAAGTTCTCCAGATAAATGCTAAATTTTCTTTATAAGTTTCCCCCAGCATGGTTGAAGAGGGCTAATTTTAATTCTGTCCCTCGTAGTTCAAGTCAAATAGCCATAGGTCACAGCATGTGGCTTCTCTGTGACTTCTGACAATGCCCGACCTTCAGGTTGGTGCACTATGTGTGCACATGCAGGCAACACAAATGCATGTTTGTGTAAGACAAACTAACTCAAAACAGTTTCATGGGTTATTTGAACTTATTTCCATGGCTTTTGAAATTATCACAGAGTGCCCCACTCCACTAGACTGCCCCCCCAAGGCTTGTGCCAATGCCAGGGTTTTGTGCAGGCTGTGCCTGTTTTGTGCAGGCTCCCCTTGCTAAAACCCAGCTTTGCACTCTGTTGTCACCTTGCATGAACTTGAAATTAAGATGGAGTTTCCCAGTTCCCAGGACAAATCTGTAAAGGTAAGTCATTGAATTGCCACTTTTCCATTACTTTCTTGCCCATATTCTGGCATTTGAGCTCTCAGTTCAGACATGGCTGTGCAGGGGTAGGACACACACACTGTGTATTTGAGCAACGGCAAGTACAGCTGCCCTAAACCAGGATTATCCTGGGCACAGCAAGTCTGGAGGACATAGCTTTGTTCCTGCTGCCTAACCCACCCCTTTGGCCTTCCAGGACACTGCTTTAAGAAGGGTTAGGACTGTGCCCATGACTTTACCTGGGCTTTGGGTGCTGAGGACTACTGGGAGCTTTTCCATCTACTTGAATTTTTGCCTGTGTACCTTCACACAGCTTTACTTTGCCAAGCTCTGTGCAGAGCATCCCCTGGGTTCGAGGAAAGGTGAGGAAGTCCCAGTTTTGTGCTTCTCCCACCTCCCGGTCTCTGCCTAAAACCCATTTTTACTGTGAAATCAGTGAGAAGCACTCAGGCAAGACCTAGTTTCTATGGCAAATCTTTCCAATTTAATAGCAGGAGGCGATCACCATTTGAGTTATATTTTCTGGAAAGAATCCACAATTCAGATGCTGTATTCAGAACTTGACATGACCTCAGGGATGGTATATTACCAAATGTTCTGTAAAATGCACCAGACTGAGCACAGAAGCCACAGGCGCAGGTCAGGGAGAAGCACAAGTGCTGCACAGCACATTAGATTTCACTGGAAAAAAAATAAGTGACCTGGTTACTCAGAGCATTTTTTATCCCTGATGCTGAGATTAATTCAGAGTATGTTGCTAAATCAGGTAAGCAAATTACATTTACGTGGTCACAGGGAATTGCTGGGAGAGCAAGATGAATTTAAAGAGAGATTTATCTTGCTGCTTTTGTCCACATCTATGACCCTGAGGGATTTTAATTTGTAGGACCCATCCAGGGGGTTTGGTTCCTCACCAGATGCAGCACCAGCATCCTCCCAGCTGCCCTGCACTTTGGTGGGGTGGGCTAGCCTGGTGCTGGCCACCAGCTTCCCCTAGGAGCCAGCCTAGCGTCCATGTGCAGCCCCAACCTGGGGACAATTTTCACCTGCAGCTCTGAGAGTGCACACCTCAGTGAATCCTTCTGGTCAAGCCCCAGGTGTAAGCAAAGTGTTTCAGCCTGTGCATCAGAACTGCTGGCAGAAACTGGTGGAGATAGTCCTGCCACCTTCAACCAGACATGCTCTGCCCCCTGGGAGAAAGAGAGATGTTCCTCCAGATGTTGAAGCCTGATCAGCTCTGAGTATTTCCACTCCTGAACTACCAGGAACTGAGGAATATAATTTTCCCAAGTGACTTCCCCCAAAGTCACCCCTGCTGCAACTTTCTGCTTCTCCTTGCGGTGGCAAGAAGAAGAGGGTGTCCCCATGTCTGAAGGGAAAGCAGACATCTGGAGCAAACTGAGGTTTGCAAACACCTTTAACTCTTCAGTGCACACAACAATAACCCCCCCCGAGGAAAGGTGCAATCCTCTGTTCTGAACAAAGCTTTAAAAAAAAAATCTTTGTTCTGTTTATGAATCCCTTTAGATGTTCCCCTTGTTTATTAGCTTCTCATCTGACTATGCAAGAGATAAGAATAAAAATAGTTTATAACGGGAGGACTAATAGGTGCATAAAATTAAGGATCTCAAGTATTTTATATGTTCCCCAATAACTTTTGTGGGCTTCTGGAAGTGCTTGGCTTTGCAGAGGAATCTGGAGGATCTCAGTGCCAGCAAGACAAGAAATAACACAAATAACAAGTGGTTCCTCTCAGAGTGTATGTGCTTCCTCTAGTGAATCATGGCTGTATCCTGCTCGTCTTCCATGATCACCCCAGAAGCCTGTGGGCACACCGGTGTGCTGTGTCACCCAGCACAAACAGCCCCAGCAAGGCTTCAGGGCTTGATTCCCTGGCAGAGAAGTGCTGGAGGGTGTCACCACCTGCCCTCCTTCTGGCACAGCTGCTTGACGAGGAGGGGGTCTTTGCGAGTGAATCCTGTGCTGGATCTGACCCTCAGCACACATCATGCTGTGTGGGAATTCCTTCTGCTGTTGAGTCCCCCTTGTCAAATCTCCTCTGGCTCTGGTCATAGCCTCCTGGAGTCTTCTTGGCTGAGATCATCCATCACTCTTCAGCTAGACTAATGCAGGTCCTGGTGTTGCGCCCTGGGGTTCCTGCTACTTTCACTGTGATTTCCTCAGTGACTCATCCATTTCATGCCACTTAGGGGGATTTACAGTCTGTCTCTCCACGTCACTTTTCCTCTTGCATCTTGCAGTGGTGATCTCCTAGAAAAAAATATCTAGAGATGCAGAGCTGTTCCCTAAGCAGTTCAGCTGGGGTGATTGTAGATGCTTCGAGACCCAGGCAGTGTGCTGCCAGCAGCATGGTGTGAGAAACCACTGCTCCTTTGCAAATTGGGAACTGCAAGAGGGCAAGCCATGGTATGGATAGAGCCCTGTCCTCCCACATCCAGCCAGCATAGCACAGCTGGGCATGGGGTCACCTAAGCCGAGATCCCATTGCGGGTTACTCCTCCTGCAGGATTTGGGACCATTTTATTCTTGTGGTGCTTAGTTACTACCTTGTGGTTCTGTAACTTTTTGCAGAATTACAGTTACTTAGCAGATCTACATGTGCACCCACTATTTATTGTTAAACAGTCAGAGTCACCATATAAAAACACAAAAGCAGCTGGAGTGAAGAGGCAGCTCTTCTGCTGAACTAAGCACCCTGTCAGATCAGGACTGATCTCACCAGGTCTCCAACTGCAGGTTTTGCAGCTCTGGAGCATGTGCAGCACAGCCATTAATTAGCCGGTGTTGCACAAAATCAAACTTTTCTGATGTGCATCCCAAATTATTCATTTCAGACTCTACAACAAACCTTGCAAAGAGCACCACGTGTTGAATCTGTCCTTCAAACTGGGTTTTGGAGAGTGCCCTTAGGGCTTTCACTGCATCAGCTGCAACTTTTACTCTGAATGCTTGCATTTGGGATGCAGCAGTCCTGAAGGCAGAGTGGCTGATCTCATTTAACAGAAAGAGGTTTTCCTTAGAATCATTAGCGAAAAAGCTGTGCTTAGGTCTCTGCTGGCATCTACTGGACACAAAAACCAACACCAGTGCTGAAAGAGAAGCAGCAATTGGGGATCTTACACACAAGCTATCCCAGTTCTGCTGATTGATGACAGGTATTACAGCCCATCAGACTGTCACCTATAAATACTGCTAATTGTTCACAGTTCATAAATTATGCACACAGCATTTGTTTTGAACAGAGACGTCATCCAGAGACTAGGAAAGGAGTGAAAAATAATTACTTAGATGAATCTAATGATTAAATCAGAAGGAAAACTACCACTTGCCTGCAGTTGGAGCAGTACCTTCTAAAATGCTTGTCATTCATCAAGACCATATTTTTCTTCTAAGATACAGTGCATTAGTTAAATCAGTGGCATGTGTATCACTGCCAAATAATAGGGCACTCTTAAACTGAGGGTCAGTATGCTGGAAAGTCAACAAGGGACTAAGAGCCCAAGGACTCATTTTTAATTTGTCTTTGACTAACGTTGTCACTGGTATTCAGGGTTGAACTGGTCTTCAAATCATGTTAACTGCTATGTCTCTTATGCCAAACATCCTGCACTGACAAACCCACATGAATTTTGAACTAAAAAATTTCCCAATATCCTTGTGGAAATGAGATTGCCATTCACCTTGTCCAGGCTCATCTCAAGGGAGAAAAAAGGAAAGAGCCATGGCTGGAGAGTTGGAGCCTCAGAGCTAGCTTTACAGTGTCTAAAACTTCAGTGTCTTGCTGTCTTCTGAGTTCTTCAGCCCAAAGAAAGGGGCTCTCTAAGCAGGGTGACACCAGCATGGGCGTGTGAGAGATGTGGGGGTGATGTCCCACAGTGGCTTGGCCAGGAGCCACACCCTGAAATGTTTTCTCACCTGGGAACAAGCAGCTGTGACCACGGGCAGAGTTTTCAGAGCTAAACAGTGAATTAATCCTCTGCTTTCTTTCTCATGGATGAATACATGGAGCTATTTTTAGGTACAGGGACAGGCTGACACGCTGGTTTGTGTGCTAGCATGGCAAAGGCCTTCTCGCCCACTCTGTAGCTCTGCATGAGAGGCAGAAACCTTCAGCACAGCTGGGACACAGCAGCATTTAAAGTACCATTTTGGCAGGCAACTGGCAGCCTTGGATGTGGTTTGTGTCTCTCTGCTGGTTGTGGTTTATTTAAGACCCCTCACCCTTTGGTTGTTTTTTTTAAAACATTTAAAACTTTTAAAAATGTGGCTGTAGAGACCTGTGTACCTCATTAGTTCAACAGTGACTGAGGGAGCTGGTGGGATTCAGCCTGGGAAAAAGGAGGCTCAGCAAGGATCTTCTCACTCCCTACAACTCCCTGACAGGAGGGTGGAGCCAGGTGGGCGTCGGTCTCTTCTCCCAGGTAACAAGTGACAGGGCAAGAGGAAAATGCCTCAAATTGCACCAGAAGAGGTTTAAACTGTTTATTATGGAAAATTTCTTCATGGAAAGGGTTGTCAAGCACTGGAACAGGCTGCTGGGGGAAGTGGTGGAGTCACCATTCCTGAAGGGATTTAAAAGATGTGTAGCAGTGGCACTTGGGGACCTGGGTTAGTGGTGGACTTGGCAGTGCTGGGGTAATAGTTGGACTCAATGACCTAAGAGGTCTTTTTCAACTAAAATGATTCTATGATTCTAAGATTATGAGAAGTACAGGCCAGGCACAGCTTTAAAACACAAGCTGGCTCTCTACTGGAGCTGCAGCAGGTCCATGTCAAAAAGGATCTAGTCAAGAATACAGCCTGATTTAGTGTTTCACAGAAATGTGCTAATCTGTGATGGCTCAAAGACCACAGCCTGCTGTCCTCATTCAACTCTTCACATACAAGAGTAACATATGGGCACTGACCAATGCTTGTTAAAAATGTTTTAAAATATTACTTCCAGCTTCACTACCACCTTCTAGCTGTGATAGTTCCACTCCTGGAGCAGCTCCTCTGATACTTTGTGGTTGACCTCAGTCCTGACATCCCCAATCCTGCCCTTGCCAGAAGGAAAGGCCACAGAGATGTTCACCTGGCCTGTGGTGCACTGGTCAGGGCATCAAACCAGTAGAAAACTAAACCAGCATGAAAAAGAGGCAGTCAATGGTTGTTTAGTGTCTGAGCTAGTTAGCAAGAGTCAGCTGGCATGGTGGGAACAGAAGGAACAAGAAGGTGGCCAGAGCCAAGCACTGAGGGAAGCCCCTTTCCAGGGGCTTTTAGCCACATGGTCTCTATGGCAAATTATCCCACACCAATCTCCTTGTTACCCCCTGCAACCACCTAGGTAGGAGTTAAATCTAATCTCACCATTCACAACCACCTTTTTCCATTTACACTGGCCATGTGGAAGGGCAGGTATGCCAGAAATTCCTGTCCCACCCTTCCAACAAGCCACCAGTGTTCACTTGCTGTCAAACAGCTCCTGTGAAAAGCTGTGGGTCTTATGCACAGCTTCTCTCTGAAACAGCAAGAAAACACTGCTCAACTTGCAAAATCCAGTAGCTGCAGGGCAAACTAGCAGTGCTGAGTAGTCAAGGGTCAAATCTTTTCCTAGTGGACTTCAGGAGCATCACAGAAGGAAGTTACAGTAATGCTTAGACCATGGAAACCAGCTGCACTAAAATTTCACAAACAATTATGTCTCTCTACTATCATTCATCTGGCAATTTTTCAGAGGAGTTCCCTTCTCAAGGCTGGCCTGAGAATCACGACAGGCTGAGACACTTTGATTTCCTGCATAAAAGACAATTTATTTCTTGTCTCACAAAATAATGACAGTGTGTTTACTTGCATCACAAACAGTTGAAAAATCCGGTAAAACTGAAACATTGTATTTTTAAAGCCTGTACACAGGAAAACACTGCCCACCTCTCACACTTCACTGTGGCAAAAACAAAGGAAGGCCCAATCTTAGTTTCTGATTCAAAATACTAATTTAAGGCTTTAGGCCTTCGAACAAAAAGATTACACTGATAAATTAATACAAATTTATGCCATACAATCACACTTCTATTGTGTTATTTTCCTTCCTTTTCAACAGCAAACAGAGTTGTTTTTTATATATTATACTCCAATGGATTGCTGCCATCAATACAATAATACCTGTTCTCTGCATATACATATTTTCACATGCTGAAGAGCACACAGGGAGCATATGGTATTGCTTTACCTCTCCTTTCAGATACCTCTCCCACACGGCTTCTCTAAACACAGTTAAACTCTTAGAGACAAGAGACACTTTAGGTGAGCTCAAAAAGAAAACACACACCTTGAGCACAAACTCAGTGACACCACAGTCTATGGTCAACCACTTTTCCTCAGTCTGTCTGAGGAACTCATGTTTCTCATATTCACAGTATTTAAAGTTGACTGTACCTGCAAAAAAACCAGAAAAGGCCACTGAAATTCTGACAACTGAGGTTTCATCTTCCTTTCCCTCCCTCCCAGTATCATACATCTTCCCTTTCAAAATTACTGTTTTCTTATGCTTCAGAGTTTAAATAAAAAAAGTAACCTTAATAGATCCCTTTTTTAGCCTGTCTTACAGTCTTACATGACTTTATAACTATTGGCACTTCCACATACAATGGGTTAAAGCAACATTATCCTGCCATGATGCATTTTTCACAGTGTGATATTTTCAGAGTGCCTTCCAGCTGCCAGTGCTCAGCTTTCAACAGCTTTTTTGGCACTTAACAAACAGCTCACACAGTCAGTCAGTCAGTTTGGGCAGCAGTGGTCTGTTGGCCTCTGAGCTTCACTGTGGCACTTTCTGCAGGACTGGAGCAAACACTTTTGTTCTTGCAGTCGAGCTCTTGTGTGCTGGGCTCGGAGGCTGCCACCAGTACGTCAGGCCTGATGAAAGGAAAAGGCTTCCTTTCCCTGTGGAGCTCTCGCTGCTCGTAGTCTGAGCCACCAAGCCAGAGCTCACACAATGGAGAAGAAACCACTCTATGGCTCGTGCGCAGTCCCATCTCTCCAGTTTCCCGGTAGTCTGGTTGCAAAGGGCTTCAAGCACTGGGACTCTCCCCGCCTTTCCTCAAGGAGACAGCCCCAGGGCCCAATGCCTCCATCCCGGACCCCTGTCCTTTCAGAGGCTGGTGTCGATGGTGCCTGCTTTGGTCTTCAAGGTGGCCTCAGAAATGGTGTCCGGCTGCCCATCCCGACAGAAGAGCACAGCAGGAGTCTTGCAGGCCCACATGGCCACCTCTCCCCCACTCGCCGGGCTGGAGGAGGACAGGGCGCTGCCGGGGGGGCCGCTGTGCCGATTGATGTAGCGTTCCCGGACACGGTCAGCCCGGCTGCGGGGCTCCGGCTGGCGGCCCGGGACCGACAGGTAGGCGACCATGTTGTTGCGAGTCCTGTAGCCCCCCTCCCGGCTGTGCCGCAGCAGCACGGAGATGTTGGGGTTGCGGGCGGCGTAGATGAGGGGGTTGATGGCCCCATTGGCCCAGGCCATCCCACTGGCCACGGCGTCCATGGTGGGTGAGAAGGGCAGGTGGCCGGCGGCGGCAGCGAGTCCCAGGATGCAGTAGGGCCCCCAGCAGCAGATGATGGAGACGATCATGATGAGGACAGTGGTGGCCGTGCGCATCTCCCCGTAGGCGCGCAGCAGGTGCCCGTAGGTGGTGAGGGGCCGCACGCGGCTCTCGGCCAGGCGCACCGCCCGGCAGATGTTGAAGTGGCAGAAGCACATGACGGCGAAGGGCAGGAGGTAGCAGAGCACGATGAGGGCTGCGCCGTAGGGCGGCCCCAGCCGCGAGGAGCCCCAGGGCAGCACGTAGACACAGCGGTAGGCGCCGGGACGGGCTTCGCGATGCCCCTCGCCCGCCAGCCCGTACCAGGGCCCGGCCAGCGCCAGGGCGCACAGCCAGACAGCCGCCAGCAGCTGGGCAGCGCGGCGGCGGCCCATCTTGTGCCGGGGCTGGCGCACGATGGCACAGTAGCGGTCGAAGGAGAGCAGGGCCATGGTGAGCGTGGCGGCGATGCCCAGCCCGGCGTGCAGGGCGGCGCTGGCCAGGCACAGGCGCTGCCCGAAGAGCCAAGCGCCGGGCGGGCGGCTGAGCAGGCTGAGGAAGGCCAGGGGCAGGCAGAGCAGGGCGCCCAGCAGCTCCGACAGCGACAGCGACAGCACGAAGGCGTTGGTGACCGTGCGGAGCTGCCGGTGCCGGGCGATCACCAGCAGCACCGCCCCGTTGCCCAGCGCCGACAGGGCGAAGATGAGCAGCAGCGCGGCCGCCTGCGAGGCCAGCGCCGCCGCCGACCACCCGGCCGGCCCCGCCGCCGCCGCAGCCCCGCCGCTCTCGTTGCCGCCGCCGCCGCTGCCCCGGGAGAGGTTTCCCGGCTCCATGCGCAGCCTCATGCCCCGGCCCCGCCGCGGCTGCAGAGGCGCTGCCGCCCGCCCGCCGCTCCCGGCCCCGCGGCCGCTGACGTCGCTCGGCCGCCGTTGCCCGGGGAACCCGCCTGGGGAACCCGCCCGGCCCGGCCCGGCCCGGCTGGACCCGCGGGCGGCGGAGCGGAGCCCCCACAGCCGGGCACGGGGGTCGAGGGATCCCCCCTCACCCCACACCGGCGTCATCGCCATCCCAGAGTCCGGGATAGGACCCCAACAGACACTGTCAGCTCCTCTCCCCTCCTGGCTGCTCTCCCCGTACAGCCCTGCAGGCCATCACGAAGGACCAGCTACTCCCAGACACTTTGGCAGAGGCCGGGACCACCTCACCCCACACTGGCGTCATTCCCATCCCAGAGTCGGGGATGGGTCCCCATAGACCCTTTTCTACTCCCAGATGTAAGTCCCCCTCCCCTCACATCCCTCTCCCCTTACATCCCTCTCCTCTCCTGTCCCCCTCTCCATCACGAAGGACCAGCTACCCCCAGACACTGTGGCAGAGGCTGGGACCACCCCCCTTCCCACTCTCCAGGCTGGGGGTTGAGACATCACCAGCTGTAGGGTTGAAGAATCGAGTCAGGGACCCCCACATGGGCAGCAGGACCCTGTCCCCCCTCTTTCAGCCACGCTGGAGCTGCCTGCCCCTACCCGAAAAGTTTCCTAGGGATGGGGGTAGTGAATAGCTAATGAAGGCTGCACCCCAATTAATGGCTGAAGAGCTTCCAAATGGTCTGTGCTGGGCTTCATGACTTGCTGTCCCAGCTCTTTCCTGTGAGCAATGCTGGGGGGCTGATCACAAGGGAGAAGCCCAGAAGCTGAAAACACATGGAGGAGTTTGCTCCTGCAAGCACAGAGGGTGTGCATGTCACTTGTTGCTCCTCGGGACCAGAAGCTGTACAGGATTTACTCAGGGGTTACAGGAAAGCTGTTTGGAGCAAGAGCTCTGAACACTATCCTATAAAAACTCTCTTGGCAGCACAGCCATTCTCTGAATGAGGGGATTTTTGTTCATTCCCATTCCAAAGTTATAATTTTCAACTCGGCAGAAGAAATTCCTCCCAGGCGTTTTGATGCCAATGTTTTCCAAGCTCACCAGTATGACTTACTCTCTTCTGCTGCAAGAGCTGCTGCAAGAGATGGTCATTCTCATTTTCATGTCTCGTTTTAACAAGTGCACCCAGACACTCCCACAAGTGTCTTCAGTAAACAAGCACCACTTTGTCCAGAGACACAGTGGAAATGACAGGCCACGAGTGGTCTGAAGCTCTGCTCCTGCCACTGCAAATGCTTGGTTTGGTTTTTCCATTGGCTATCCTCCCTGGAAGGACTCTGGCAAAGCAAACACTGATTGCACTCCACTGCACAAGCTGCCCCTGGACTGAGACAAAATCATCAGTAAATTATTACCTAAGGTCATAATACCTCAGACCTTCGAATACGGCTGCTTCTGTTGAAAGTTAACCATGGGGTATTTGCAGCCAGTGGTCTGAGATAAGCCAGAGAGGAAGGTTTAGGGAAGCAGTGTGGCATGCTCGCTCAGTGGGTCCAGTGGGAAGTTCATCCCCAGCCCCGGGATGCAGGAGGGATCTGATGGAGTGTAGCAAGTGTAATTGAGGAAGGAGGTATCTGGACAGGCCTAAGAAGGGAAGATGGGGCATGAGACAGAGCAGCATGGCTGGCTGAGCAGGAGACAACAAGAATTCAAACCGACAGCCATGACACACCCAGCAGAATCCTGGAAATGGGCTCTGGGAGGGAAAATAAGAGGAGAAAGGAAGTGTTTTCAGTTGGCATTTAATACGAATCTGGCTTTGAAATTCATAATTTTCAGACATAGAGAAGGCACGTAACTTTGAAGACAGCTCTCCAAGATCACCTCTGCTTTCTGTGAGTAATTATTGGGGAAAAAAGAAAAAAAAGGAAGAAAAATATTACGGCTTCTCAGAGCAGCCCGTTTATGCTAATCACAGCGCACCCAATATGCTCATCACAACAGGGCAACACAGCTTGTTATTTTGAAACACGGCAGATGCTGTCACACCACCCAAAGCTGTTCCTGTTGCTCTGGCATATCGCAGCAAGAACAGAAATTCACAGGCAGGAGAAGCACAGCACCACCAGTGAGACTCTGCCATCACCCGTGGCTCGGGTCACTTGAACAAGAAGCCGTATTTGAGTGGGTCCTCCTCCTCAACAGTGAAGGTGGCTGTGCCAGTGTAAAAGGCTTCTCCCGAGACTTCCACAACGACAGCGTTGTAGTCGCCAAACTTGGCTTCCTGCCGAGAGATCAGGATCAGGACAGAGGAGACAGAAGGTTTCCACACTCCCAACCCCAGAAAATGCCAGTGCTACCTGGCACTTATGCAGACACGCCTCTCAGAGCACTCTGCCCTGCCCAAGTGCATCCCAAAGTGTGCAGCGGCCACGCAACACAACAAGGACTTACTGTTACTTGCTTTTCTAATTAAAATCCTTGAAGCATGAGGTTTACGGGAGGGCAAAACCCCCAGGCACCTTCCCCCTTCTACATGCCCTTCCCCAGGCAACAGAAAGGCTTTTCTGCTTCCCCACTGAGCCGAGGCAACAGCAATTTTCCAGCAGTCCTTGAGACGGGGGAAGACCAGCACAAGCCACTTGCCTTCACTGCCTTCCCAGTGAACAAGGAGCCCGTGGTGCTGCTCCGGAAGGTTCTGGTCTGATTCAGCTGGATGAGTCCCTTATGGTACTGCAGGGCAATGCGAGCTGTCACACCCGAACCTGTCGGACTTCGGTCAACCTACGTGCAGAGGAGAAGATGAACCAGCTCTGCTATTCTGGGGTTTAATAGAAAACAGTATGGCCCCCCTCGGATCTCTCTGGCACCTTTATACTGTGCTTGGGGGAAATCCCTCTAGCCCAGGGTTTTGTACAGAATCTGGATACATCACAGTGGCAGGTTTGGGGTACTTCTGGATTGTGATTAGCTTTGGCACGCTTATAGGGATGGATGATCTAATAAATATTGAGGCTATTTAGGGAGCACTTGACAGCTTATCAGCATCACAACAAAAGGACTCAGAGGGGCTAAGGCCACCCTGCCCCTGGGACATTCCTATCAAAGGGTTTGTAGGTATAAACCTTTTTAAAAGGTCACCATCTAAGATGTGCAAAAGTATTTCTGCTGTTATAACTTAAAATAGGATGTGTGAAATGACACTTGGCTCTTCAGAGACATGACAGCAGCAAAAGTAATCATTGCCCAAACTGAGCAGCAGAACAGTCCCTCTTCTCTGCAGTGGACATAAGAGGGGACAAAGGTGGTGCCTCATGTGCCTGAGAAGAGCCCGTTTCTGTACCTGCTCATCTGCAAACACACAGATGTTGGTGGTGGGCTCCTCGCTAAAGGCATCTTTCCCATCTGTCAGGATGGTGCCGTAGAGGAAAGCCAGGTCTTCACTTTCAGGGTGATGAAGCTTGAACTGGGAACAGCACAGAGAGGGTCACACACAGCAGCAGCATGTGCAGTACAGCTTCCATGAGAGACCAGAGGAAGGGGACAAGGCCACACTGCTGCATTTCCACCTCTGCTTTTGCGGTAACAGAGATGGACGCAGCAGCAGCTCCTTCTTACGTCCTTGTAAGGACTCTGAGATTCACCATGGGGCTGGAAGGATGGGACTCCCCCCATCCAGAGTGTCTCAGTCTGGTGCAGTCATCCCAAAGGGAATGTGCTGGGGTGCCACGGTGCTCCCCCATACCTGTTTCTTCACTGCTTCTGTCACTCCACTCGCTGCACTGACAAGGTCTCTGGTCTTTGAGGAGCACACATCAAGGCCCAGCTGCTCGGCGCTGAGGAAGGCGTAGAAAGTGCCGCCGTAGCCGATGTCAACCACCACCTTCCCATGGCCAGGGACGTCAATGGCCAAGTCTGAGCAGAGAAAGGGAGGGAGGTGAGCAGGGCAAACCGTGCTGAGCCATGGGCTTGCTTGCATACAGAGTGAAGGAACCCCGCTGCACAAAGGGCAGTGGTTGGGACGATGACTTGAGTGCTCCCGTGCATGTGATGCCTTATGCCACCCCTGACAATCTCTGAAGAGCATCAGAATCAGGGAGGGATCTGCCACATGCCCCTCAGCCAGGCCACCAGCCCCCAGCCCCCCCAAAGCCCACTGCAGCGGGCCGGGCTCCCACCGGTGGCGGCGGCGAAGGCGGGCACGCTGTGGAAGCGCACGGGGTTGCCGCTGCGCCGGCCGTCCCAGGGCACGAAGGCGGTGACGGGCCCGCAGGGGCAGCGCAGGCGGACGGCGGTCTCCGGGCAGGCGGGCTCCGGCACCAGCCCGTAGTCGAGTGCGAAGCGCCCGAGGGCCATCACGGCGTGTCCGCACATGGCGCTGTAGCCGGCGCCGTGCAGGAACAGCGCCGCCAGGTGCGCGCCCTCCGCGGCCGCCCCGCCGCGCACCACCACGGCCCCGTACATGCCGGCGTGCCCGCGCGGCTCGTGCACCAGCGCCCGCCGCACGTGGTCCTGCGCGGCCGCCACCTCCCGCCGCAGCGACAGCAGCGACAGCCCGCCCGCCGCCGCCGCCCGCTCCGCCGCCTCCAGCCGCGGGATGATGCGCAGCGGCTCGCCGCCCGTGTGCATCTCCACCGTCTGCAGCACCGGGCCCGAGGGCGAGTGCGGCGGCAGCGCCCGCCCCGCTCCGGCTCCGACACCGACACCGACACTGTCACCGCCGCCCCGGGCCGCCATCGCACCGCGGGGTCGCACCCGCACCGAGGCCACGCCCACGCCCCAGAGGTCACGCCCACGACAGAAGCCACGCCCCGTCTGAGGCCGCGCCCACCCCCGCCTGGAGCCACGCCCACGACAGACGCGGCTGCCAAGCCCAAAGCCACGCCCCCTGCCTGTGCCACGCCCCATGTTTGGAGCCCCGCCCACATGTTTTGGTGCCCCGCCCACATTCCACGCAGGGCCGTCCCGCGGCGGAAGCGGAAGCGCCGAG